CCACATTGGACTGAGCTAATTCCCTGATGAGTCAGCAGGAGGCCCTGCAGTGGTGAGTCCCAACCCCGTCACAGACACTAACTATTTAAACCTCAAAACAACCTGTGAGGTCAGTCACTATCAGTCCACATGATAAAAAAGAAAGTGAAGCAGCAAATGGCTAAGGGCTTGCCTAAACAAGATAGTTTGACCAGCAAAAGTTCTACTATCCTACTGCTACCAACACAGCTATTTCCGCAGAGAGCTGAAACACTTTTGGTTGCATTTGGCAGTTCAGTGTGTCCCCTCTGCATCAGGTTGGATTAGCAAAAGATGTGTAACACCATGGGTAGGCATCCACATGATGCCTTCACCACTCCACAGGATGTTATCTTGGGGGAAATGTTTGTGGTGTATTGTGGAATGACAGCACTGCTCACGGGAAATTATCCCAAATTCCCACAATTCTCTCTATTTCAAACCATAATCCACTCTCTTTCATTTTTTAAAATTCCTACAGTTCTCTCTGGTATATCCCATAGTCTACTCTTTTCCTCATAACTGTTCAATTCATTCCCCATCTTGCCATCAGAAACATGGATGCTGCACAGATCAGCAGAGCTCTCAGGCCTAGAGACAGGGCAAATGATTCTTTTCTATTTGTGGAACCATAACGGCCAGCTATGCAGCAGGGATACAGAGAATGCTGAGGAGTGGGTGATATAGACACTGACTGAGCTTGGCCAGCTGCTGCAGCTATTCACTGGCCAGCTGCACAATGTGAAGCGGTGATTCTGGGTCTATGAAGTGAGCACCGAGTTTGGGATCATGATGCATCTCTGAGATCAGTAGAGACTGCAGAACTTACACATGTGGAAGGCCATTCTCCTGGAGTTGTGAACAGAGTTCACTCCAGTCCTGTAGTGCAGGGACATCAAAATGAGAGGCACTCTGACAGTGGAGAAGTGGGCATTGATCTCTCAGACAGCTTGCTATCGCAGACTGCTACCATTTGGTGGACAATCAGTTTTGTGCTGGGAATTGTAGTCACCCAGGTATGCAAGGCCATAAAGCATGGCTTGATGTGCAGGAGTGCAACTGTGGGCAATGTGCAGGAAATAATAGATGGATTCAGTGCAATGTGGTGGAGTGGTAGATGGGTTGCCTATCCTGATTCGATATCCACCCCTTGCCTCTGAGTACATAAATTTAATAGATCCCAAGGCCAAAATGGATCCCTACAATCATCTAAGCTGACCTTCTGTATGACACGGGGCCATAGAACTTCCCCAAAATTTATTTTGAACTAGAGCATATCTCTACAAAAAATCCAATCTTAATTTAAAAATTGTTAGTGATGGAGAATCCACCACAACCTTTGGTAAATTGTTCCAATAGTCAATTACTCTGACTATTAAAATTTTGCACCCTATTTCCAGTCTGAATTTTCTTATCTGTTACACTAAAGAACCCATTAGGAAATATTTATTTTCATGTAGGAACTTATACATTGTGACCAAATCACCCCTTACTTGCTCTGTGTTAAGCTAAATAGATTGAGCTCTTTGGCCCTATCCGTATATGGCATGTTTTCTAATCCTTTCATAATTCCTGAGGCCCTTCAATGAACCCTCTCCAATTTATCAGCATCCTTCTTCAATTATGGACCTCAGAACTGGAGACAGTATTCTAGCAGCAGATGCAGCCTAGGATCACATTAGCCCTTTTGATCGCAGCGTCACACTGAGAATTTGTGTTCAGCTGATTATCCACCCTGACTCCCACATCTTTTTCAGAGTCACTGCTTCCCAGGATGAAGTCCTCCATCTTGTAAGTAAGGCCTACATTCCTTGTTCCCAGATGTATAGATTTAGCCACATTTAGCTTTCCAAGCAATCTAGATTGCTCTGTATTAGTCCAGTGGAGGGCAACAAAAATTAGTAGGGGGAAGGAGCACATGACTTATGAGGAGAGGCTGAGGGAACTGGGGTTGTTTAGTCTACAGAAGAGAAGAATGAGGGGGGATTTGATAGCTGCTTTCAACTTCCTGAAAGGGGGTTCCAAAGAGGATGGATCTAGACTGTTCTCAGTGGTGGCAGATGACAGAACAAGAGTAATGGTCTCAAGTAGCAGTGGGGGAGGATTAGGTTGGATATTAGGAAAAACTTTTCCACTAGGAGGGTGGTGAAGCACTGGAATGTGTTACCTAGGGAGGTGGTAACCCTCAGAGGTTTTTAAGGTCAGGCTTGACAAAGCCCTGGCTGGGATGATTTAGTCGGGGATTGGTCCTGCTTTGAGCAGGGGGTTGGACTAGATGACAACCCTGATATTCTATGATTCTAGTGACCTGTCCTCTTCATTATTTACCACTCCCCCACACATACACCTCCTATCTTTGTCTTTTCTGCAAATTTTGTCATTAATGATATTACGTTCTCTACCAAGTCATTGATAAAAATATAGAGCCAAGCCCAGTGGGACTCCCACTAAAAACACATGCACTCAATGGTGACACCCCATTTATAATTACATCTGTAAACAGAAAGAGATACTTCTCCATGGTTGTGCAAGCACTGGAGGATCACTATGGGCACTTTACTGACATTAATGTTGGCTGGTCAAGAAAAGTCCATGACGCTCACATCTTTGGGAATACAGGACTTTCTGACAAGCTGCAGCCAGAAACATTTTTCCCAGGTCAGCATATTCATATCAGCAGGGTAGCCTTGCTAACTGTGATTTTGAGGGCCCCAGCTTATCCTTTGCTTCACTGGCTCATGAAGCTGCACAGCAGACATCTGGATAGCAGCCAAGAAAGACTTCCTATCAACAGAGCAGGGACAGGAAGACTATGGAGTGTGCCTTTGGAAGATTAAAGGGTTGGGGAGATGTCTCACGACAAGGCTAGAGCAAAATAGTTCTGTAGTTACTGCTGTGTGTTGTGAGACCAAGCAGGAAAATGGTACCTCCATGTGGAAGATGGGAGTGGAGAGGCTACCTGGTTATTTTGAGCAGCCTGACTCAAGCCCAGTAACTAGAGTCTATTAAAGCACTGTGCAGCTGAGGGAAGCCATAAGAGCACACTTTGACACAGCTGGACAATGCATGATTTTGTGCAATTGCACATGCAATGAGCAGTTTATGTAAAAAAATTTTTAATGCAGGAAGTGCTGGTGTCTAGTGGAGGTGGGGAGCATGTGGCCCTGGCCTTGAGAGAGAGGAACTGTTGTCCGTGCCGTGTAATGGCCACTGTGGGGTTTGTTGTTCAGGTGCTTTGCTCCATAATATGTTTGAGCATCTGTGTTTGTTGTCTGAGAAACTGCATGAAGTCTTGGTGCACCTCTTGGTCCTTTTGTCTTTCTTCAGGCTCTTGGTCCTTCTCTGTCCACCAACATACAGCCCTCCATTGGTGGGCCCCATGAGCTCTGGATTTGGCAATCTTGATCAGTTCTGCGAACATGTCTTCTCTCATGGTTTTTTCCTCCTCCATATCATGGTGAATCTCTGAGCAGGTGTAGAAGGGACAGCCCTCAAGGATATCCCAGCCAAGGCACTGATAAATAACTAGACAGAACCACTGGTCAATTTTTAGACATTAGCAGACATCAGAGGAAGAGCAATGGGACTCTCTAATTTTTTTCCCATGTAGAGCTACATAACATTATGTACAGGGCTCAACAGTCACTAATGCTCGCTAACCACGTAACAGCACACAGCATGATGGGAACATGGGGTCACTTTTAAACACTCTAGCTGTGAGGGGCAGGAGGCCAGGTGCAGGGGGTCTGGGTAACTTTAGGGATAGTATAGTGAAGACTGCTAAACTTATCACAGGCACTGGTATATCATGTGGGGGAATCAGAAGCCCAGAGAGAGGCAGTTGCTTGAAAGGGCTTGCAGCCAGCCATGGCCACATGCTGCCAGCCACTTCACTTTATATGATCCCCTCAAAGGTCCTTGCAGAGTGACATGGGAAGGTGTCTTACCATGGAGCAGAGACAAGGCTGCTCTCCCTAGAAATGTCTGGGCAAAAATCAAACACTACCTGCTTACAAAATTCAGCAAACCTTGTCAAAGGACCAAAAAGTTGTTTGGCCTCAAGATAAACCCCCAAATCTGCTAACAGTCGAGGCCCAATGTCTTTGCTGATAGCTATGTGAATCTGCCCATGCCAAAAGCCCCTGAGCTCACCACACGCTGTTTCTACCTCTTTCTTGAATTTACCCATAGCACGAAAGTAACCTATTTGGACTTAAAAAACATGAGTGTGTAAAACATGCATAATGTGTTTTGGGCTTGAAAATGAAAGTTCTGTATTGAGGACTTGAAAAGCTGCATCCAAGCCGTTTATACAATGCAGCTGCTGCAAAATCGTGTCATTCAAGACCTCAGTTACTGCTTTGCTTTCAAATGTTCTTTTCAGTTAATTGGGATGTTGCAATGTATTTCATTTTCATTTAAATGTCTCTGAACATACACAGAATGCTCTGCTACTGTTGTGCATGTGGCTTACAATCACTGGAATTATATATTTTGCTAGTTGCTATGCATTTAATTTAATCTGGTTATGATGCCCATAAAAGCATGTACTTCAAATGCATCAATGGTATTGGGGAAAGTACATATTTGGGAATGTTTCTTGGCTGCTTTTGTTTTGTTTTTTTTTAAATGTTGGCTTTGTCGAGCGCTGTCAGTGTATGCTCTTTAAATAGACTGCCTACTTTAAAACAAAAACCGTTTGTCCCCTGGCCGCATGTGGTCAACCACCATTTTGAGAGGGGGAGGGGGGAAAGCAGAAGGGAGGGTGAAACTGGGGAGAAGTTTAAGAGGCCGTGGAGGAAAGTAACAAAACATGCAGCCATAGAAGGAATAAATTACACCTACCTGAGTCCCCTTCCTCAGTGGGTATGGCTAGGTCTCAAAACAGCCTCTGGCTCTTACGTGGCCCTGCCTTCCTCATGGCCTCCCTCCTCCATGAGTTTCTCCTCAGTTTGCCATATTGGGGGACCCTCCTCTGGAGCTCAGTGTCCACTTTCACTGCTGGTGGGATCCCCCCTCTGTAGAGCATCGAGCTCAGAATAACAGCAGCTCTTGGGAGCAGCACCAGATTTTTGTTGCTCTCCTTTGCCTTTTGTTAACACGGCCACCATAGCGCTTTCCCCTTTGCCCAGCATTGGAACTTGTCCGTCATACCTCAGCTTCTGCATCCCCTTGGTAATATCAGAATACTGCTTCGTTCCTGGAACGATTCCACAGCTGGGCTTCTCCTCACAGGTGGAGGAAATCCAGGACTTCTTTCCTAGACCATGCAAAGCAGGAGTTTTAGGTGGAGTTTTCCCTGGAGCCATACCTGAACAGTTACAGAAGTGAGCGAGCAGGAAAAAAGGCATTTCCAAAACACTCTGGAGGAAAAAATATTCAAATTATGTCTCTCTATTTTTTTGGTGCCTTATTTTGTTTTCATGTGTCATTTTTTATTTTTAGTATGGCTAGGGGCCTCAAAAGCTGGAAGTGGTCCAGGGCTCTCTGGACCTCTGAGAGGGCCTGCCTAAGAGTTATCTGGGTTTCAGTGCAAGATCATATAGTTTAATTCTACAACAGTTCAGGTTTCTTTGAAAATTTCTCCATGTTCACTTGAAAGTAGAGCTGAACAAAATTCACATTTTCGGGGGGTAGGGTCATTTCATTTTGGTCAATTTCAAACCATCTTTGAGATCTCAAACCAAGTATTACTAGAAATGGCTCAAGTCCCAAATGGAAAAGTCAGTTCAATAGTGATGAGATATCATTACTGGAAGTTCTGCTCTGTAGTTCTGATCTTTCCAGAAAAGACCTCAGATAAAAAGGGGGAGGCTAGCCTTTTTAGGGCATTGGCTAACTTTTGTTGCAGTGTAATTAGCTAAAGCAAAGCATGTGGCTTTTCCATGTGGTCATTGGTTGTCATGTATCTATTCGTGAAACAAGTTCCACCTGATCTAAAAACAATGTAAGGATTCCTAATGTTTGTCATTCTGTAATTTCTTAGGGCCAGATTCCAATATCCTTGTTCACGTTCTGTTCAGTGATTCATGTGTTCTCAGGCCAGAAGAGACTGTGATCATCTAGTCCAACTTCCTGTATAACAGAGGCATAGAATAGTACCTTACTCCAGAAATAGTGGTGTAAGATGTTTACCAACATGAATAAGGGCGTGAGAATCTGCCGTTGAAGAATACATTTCTTTGTACAATGGGGTACATTCTCTTTTCTTTAACATTTACTTTTCTGCTTATAAGGGGAGCAGTGTACAGATAGGGCCAGACAGCTTGTGTAAATTAGTGAAGCTGCACCAGTCAATAGAGCAATTGGGACTTAAAGATACATGTGCCTATGGGACATCTCAAGTAAGTTAGTCTGGTTACATCAAAAAGACACTGGTTATTACATTCAGGCTTTTGTTAATCTCAGTGAAGAAAGGGTGCCTTGAAATGCAACCACTGGATAATTAAAATTAGAATGCTATAGATGGCTAGTAGATTGCTCATTTTATATAACGAATTGAAAGCCTAATAGGAAAACTCATAATACCAGCCCTCTTAACATTAACAATTACCATGATTAACAATGATACTCACAACTCATTTTTCATTAAAGACTATGGGCAGAGATAAGCTTGTTTATATAGACCAGCTTTTGAACAGAGGAGCCATTTATCACTTGGAAAGCCATGAAAGGACTGAACAGCACCCAGCAATTAAAACTTGCAAAGTGACCTTGTGACAATGAAACACCCACCCTCCTCAGAAGCAACAGTGAAGCAATTGTTTTTAGATCAATTAGAAATGAAGAGATAATTTGTTGGTTTGTTAAATCATACATCTCGGCCTGGCAGTCAATGAAGCACACTCCTCCATATATAAAGACCCTTATAGCAAATGCAGGTTTTCCTGAAGTACAGCTGCAGCTCTGAAGAGTTAAACTTTGAGAGGTTGTATCAGAAGATCAACATGAAAAGGATAAAATATGCCTTCTATTAAAATACCAAATGCAGAAAAGAGCTCTCCCTTGTGTGTTTTCATGGGCAAACAGCAACACACGTGCATTCAGCTGGGCCATCTGCTAATTCTCCAAATGAATCCTAAGGGTATGTCTATACTACAAAATTAGGTTGAATTTATAGAAATCAGTTTTATATATTCGAGTGTGTGTGTCCCCACGGAAAATGCTCTAAGTGCATTAATGCGGCGGAGTGCTTCCACAGTACCGAGGCTAGAGTCGACTTCCAGAGTGTTGCACTTTGGGTAGCTATCCCACAGTTCCCGCAGTCTCTGCTGCCCATTGGAATTCTGGGTTGAGATCCCAATGCCTGATAGGGCTAAAACATTGTCGTGGGTGGTTCTGGGTACATGTCATCAGGCCCCCCTTCCCTCCCTCCATGAAAGAAAGGGCAGACAATTGTTTTGCGCCTTTTTTCCTGAGTTACCCATGCAGATGTCATACCATGGCAAGCATGGAGCCCGCTCAGCTCAAGGTCACCGTATGTCTCCTGCGTGCTGGCAGACGTGGTACTGCATTGCTACACAGCAGCAGCAACCCCTTGCCTTGTGGCAGCAGACGGTACAGTAGGACTGGTAGCCGTCATCGTCATGTCTGAGGTGCTCCTGGTTGCCTCTGTGCGGTCCATCAGGAGCGCCTGGGCAGACATGGGCACAGGGACTAAACCTGGAGTGACTTGATCAGGTCATTCTCTTTAGTCCTACAGTCAGTCCTATTGAACCATCTTATGGTGGGTGAGGAGGTAGGCGATACAGATTGATAGCAGTCCTCTTGTACCATCTTCTGCCGAGCAGCCATGAGATGTGGATGGCTAGCAGTCCTTCTGCACCATCTGCTGCCAGCCAAAGATCTAAAAGATAGATGGAGTGTATCAAAACAAATAGACCAAATTTGTTTTGTACTCATTTGCAAACCCCCGCCTCGCCCCATCTAGGGGACTCATGCCTCTAGGTCACACTGCAGTCAGTCACAGAGAAGGTGCAGCGAAGTAAATCTAGCCGTGTATCAATCAGAGGCCAGACCAACCTGCTTGTTCTAATAAGAACAATAACTTAGGTGCACCATTTCTTATTGGAACCCTCTGTGAAGTCCTGCCTGAAATACTCCTTGATGTAAAGCCACCCCCTTTGTTGATTTTAACTCCCTGTAAGCCATGTCGTCAGTCACCCCTCCCTGCGTCAGAGCAACGGCAGACAATCGTGCATCTGAGTTAAGAGTGCTGTCCAGAGTAGTCACAATGGAGCACTCTGGGATAGCTCCCGGAGGCCAATAACGTAGAATTGTGTCCACAGGACCCCAAATTCAACCCGGCAAGGCCGATTTAAGCGCTAATCCACTTGTCAGGGGTGGAGTAAGGAAATCGATTTTAAGAGCCCTTTAAGTCAAAATAAAGGGCTTTATCGTGTGGACGGGTGCAGTTTACATCGATTTAACGCTGCTAAATTCGACCTAAAGTCCTAGTGTAGACCAGGGCTAAGTGTCTCAGTGTTACTTTGCCCTCCTTCTGTCTGTTGTATCCACCTTTTGTCTCATCACATACTTAGTCTGTAAGCTCCTTGGGGCAAAGTGTACATCTACACTGCAGCTGGAGGCGTAATTTCCCAATTGGGTAGACATACCTGCACTAGTTCTGATCAAGATAGCATACTAAGAATAGAAGTGCAGCCATAAATGCACAGGAGGTGGAGCAGGCTGGCTGCACTGAGCACGCACCTAGGGTTTCAGACAGAATTGCACTTGGGATAGCTTGTACACATGCAGCTACATCACTATTTCAGAACGCTACCTTGATCAGAGCTAGCCCAGGTATGTCTGCTCAAGCTCAAAATTACACCTCCAACTCCAGTAAAGAAATACCCAAAGACAGTCTCTTCATTATGTGTGTTGTGGTAAAACACCTTGTTCGCCTCAGTAGGCTCAGTCCTTTTTAGCCTTGGAGACTCAGGTTTGGGACAAGGCGAATCCTTAAAGGTGGCACAGGGTCCTGCTACTCCTCTCCTCAGTCAGTCCCTTGTGCTTGTTTTCCTTCCCTTCTGGGGGGGGGGGGGGGAAGTGCAGCCTCCCTACTGGGAAGGTCTGGTGTCTTGCTGCAAACAGCCTACTGGCAACTTCCCTGTTCCCCTCACTCTCCCCCTCCTACCACCCAGGGGAGGGTTTAAAAAGGTCCCAAGTAGTTGGAGGCAGCTGAACCTAATTGGTTCCCTAGCAACCCCTTTTCCAGCTGAACCTTACTGCCCCCTGGTTCTCTCTCCTCAGTGGATAGGGAGGGGCCTTTTAATCCCCTGGGACTAATTACTAACCCCCTTTTGAGGCTGTTTGTCCTGGGTTTACTACAGTGTGTACAGTGCCCAGCCTAGCACAATGGGACTGGATCCCTGATTAAGCATTCTGGTGCTACCACAGCCCCAAAAATATGTAGTTCTAATCACAGAAATCATATAATAGAAACATTGGGCTGGAAAATACCTCGAGAGGTCATCTAGTCCAGCTCCCTGTGCTGATGCAAGACTAAGAATATCCAGACCATCCCTGAGAGATGTTTGTCTAACCTTTTCTTAAAAACCTCCAATGACGGGGATTCCACAACCTCCCTGGGAAGTCTATTCCAGAATTTAACTACCCTGATAGTCAGAGATTGTTTCTTAATATCTAACCTAAATCTCCCTTGCTGCAGATTCAGCCCATTACTCCTTGTCCTACCTTCAGTAGACATGGCGAACAATTGATCACAGTCCTTTTTATAACAGCGCTTAACGTATTAGACGACTTATCGGGTTCCCCCTCAGTCTTCTTTTCTCAAGACTAAATATGCCCCCCCCCTTTTTTTTTTAACCTTTCCTCACAGGTCAGGTTTTCTAAACCTTTTATCTTATTTGTTGCCCTCCTATGGGCTCTCTCCAATTTGTCCACATCTTTCTTAAAGTGTGGTGCCCAAAACTTCACCCGGTACTCCAGCTGAGGCATTACCAGTGCTGAGTAGAGTGGAACAGTTACCTCCCATGTCTTACATGCAATACTCCTGTTAATACGTTTGAGAATATTTAGCTTTTTTTGTAACTGCATCACATTGTTGGCTCATCTTCAATTTGTGATCCACTATAACCTTCAGATCCTTTCCTGCAGTACTATTACCTAGCCAACACAGAAGCTGGGTGAGGCTAAGCCTCCTCAAACCTAGCGCTGCTGGGGGGGCAGTGGTGTATTTGGGGCCCCTGGAAAGATCTCTCCACACCAGGGCCCTGGGGCTGGAGAAGCTCTCGCTCCCAGCTATGGCCCCGGAGTTTTTCTGGCCTCAGGGCTGCGGGGGAGGGAGGA